CTTCATCGCGATTGCCGAATTCGACCAGAGCTTGGGCCGATCCGATAGGAGTGGTTTTGGAAGATTGTTGGACAAGGGGCAATTTTTCTTGGGTTTTGGTTTTAGAGGAAGTGTGGGGTTCGGAGGATTTATCGGTAATTTGGTTCTGAGGGTCTTTGGGATTGGGAGCTCGAGGACCTGCCCTCTGAGAGCGGTCGTCCGTTTTTTGATGATGGTCGATGGTCTTCTGACGATCATCGCCCTTAGGTTGGTGCTCGACGGTTTTCGAGGAAGTAGAGGACTTGGTGGTCGATTGAGAGGCGGATTTGTGCTGTTGCTGTTGCTGTTTCTGCTGTGATTGTTGTTGTTTTTGCTGTTGCTGTTGTTGTTGTTTTGGCGGTGGCTGTTGGGGCTGTTTTTGTTGCTGCGATTGGTGTTGTTGTTGTTGTGGTTGTGGTTGTGGTTGCGGCTGCTTCTGTTGCTGCTGCTATTGTGTCCCCTTGGGCGGCGGCGGAGGAGGAGGAGTTTGTCGCGGGGGCGATCGCGGAGGAGGCGGTGGAGTTTGCTGTGAGAGTTATTGCTGTTGCGGCTCTCGCCGAGATCCGTCGGAGCTGGCCGAGCCATCGACCTTATCGCTGGTCGATCCGACGGCAGCCCCCGATTTCTTTTTTAGTGGCACTTTCCTCAGAGGAATGTTGAAGCTGGGAGCCTCTGCACAAGCACATCCAACAGAATAAAATCAACATTAGCACTTACACCGATATAAAAGCAAGTATACAGAGACACTCAAATCGACCGGCCGAAGATCACCTGGGTCATTATCGAGCCGAACGAGATCGAGGATCTCCTCTGTGGGCGGAGAAAGTGTCTTGTGGGTGAGAAGACCACAAAAGTGGAGAAGATTCTCATCTCCGAGCAACTTGTCGGACGCAACGGTCTTGGCATTCCAAGTATGGATCCGTTGGTCTAAAAGGGCATTTGAAGGAGGGGCCGAGGCCGCCTCTCGTGAGACATCCTTGACCCAGGGAATGGAGGGCCAAGGGAAAGGGACGTCGGGCTGAACAAAAATGAATTTATCCCTCCACTTAGGGAGATTTGATGGAATGTCATTAATGAAATGGGCTCCATTACGACTTTTCAAGTAAAGGCCTCGACCTAACTTACAAGGGCCATAACAGTAATGGAAGAAATCCAGGTCGAATCGACCTAGGCGGACTCGACAGAGAATGATGAAAGTGGTTATAAAACGGATGGCATTAGGGGGAAGTTGGTGCAGAGGGAGTGAGAACCACTCGCAGATGCGGATTATATCAGGGTTAAGAGGAAATCGCAACCCAAGCTTATACTGAACCTCGAAGAAGGTATAGCAATCTCTGGGAGGATGGTCATACTTGTCAGAAGGAGAACGGCTATAGAATACCCAGCCTGAGGGTCGACCGATCTTATCGGGATGATACCAAGGACCAGAAAGAGAAGTGGGGGAAGAACGCTGGGTGGAAGTTTTCGAAGACTTCTTGGTCGAGGACTTCTTGATCGAAGATTTCTCAGGGGAAGAAGAAGGAGGAATGGTTGAAGATGTAGGGAAGGTAGGCGGAGAAGAAACAACCTCGTCTTCCTCAGGCTCATCCATCGAGCCAAGAGCAGGACGGCGGCGACGGAGAGGAATATTATCCATGGTATCCCCTGAATTAGAAGAAGCAACACGAGCTTTGAAAATGCGGGTAGGGACGGTATCACCGGGACGAAGAATAGAGAGAGGAACAGCTTCAAGTGCGGACGGCAATATTTCGACTGAACCGGAGGAGGTCTCAGAGTCTGGAAAAATAAGAACAAAGGAGATAATGTCAAAAGAAGCCGTCACAAAGGAGAAAAGGGGGAGAGAAGGAGGACTAGGGTTTCCAGAAAGGGCAACACCCAAAAATCAAAAAGGGAACTTAAGAAGGGCGGAGATCGAAATTTCGAAATTTTTGAGAAGGAAATATAAAATCCACAACATTCAACAACCAGACAAGGATATTAAAAGCACAAATCCAACACAAGGCATACTAATTCGAGATAATTCAACAGATAGATCAAGGGCACCCAATATTAAAAATCCCAGAGTACACAAAATAGAACTGCGAAGAATAAAAATTCAAGTGCGAAGAGACTTACCCATAACCGAGGATCAACGATGGATGGAGGTTCAGAAAAGTGCAAGAGAAATCTCCGGGAGAATAAGGGTGTTTGCAGAGAGGATTTTGAGTACAGAGGAGTGCAGAAAGTGCGAAGAAGGAAAAAGTCGAAAAATTGGCTAAGTGTTGATTTTATACTTTGGAAGGTAAAAAGG